TAAGAGTACATACATCAAAAGAATATGGAATATTGTTTATCTGCTTACCACCAGTGATTTCCTTAAATAGTTTCCACATATTAGAAGGATTTTTGCAGGATATGAATTTCTGGTTATATATTACATTCAACCTCTGCATTTCAGACTTAATTAAGAAGTTAGTTCTTTTTACACCACTTTTATCTTTCATTTTATACAGTTTTTCCTTCTCTCTACGAAGCTTTTTAAGTTGAGGGGAGGAGAAACGGTCAAATTTGACGAATAGTGTTTCTTTTGGACAGCAGATTTCAAAACAGAATTTCAGATAGGATGTAATATTAGAGATATTGTCATCAGGTGAATCATTATTAAACAAATCCCATCTTGTGTCACTGAGCATGTTTCTAAGATGATGTACGTTCTCATTTGAGTAGCATCTGTGAACAACTTTCTTAGACAAGTTTGAGAAGGCTTTACTGTGTAACTTTCCGTAAATTTTGGGTAAGACTCGTACAATACAATGATCAGAATTGAAGAGCGGAGCTCTTTTACGAGCTTCGTATATTCCAGAATCATTTATAAATACTAAATCAAGTGAAGTATTTTGTCGAGTTGGGAAATTAACAACATTTTCATGGCCCAGCAATGTAATAAAACTGCAGTCGCTGGAGTTGAAGTCGCCGGTCACTATAGATAAGGAGTTACCAAACGAAGCAGCAGCAAAAATATTGAATTCATCAGCGAAGATCGGTAGTTCTGGGGACTGCAACAAGGTGTGACATAGATATTTGTGACAGAAATGAAGTTATACTTAGATAAGTGTTTATGGAACATATACATAGTATCAATAAACAGTGTTACAATTGGACATACTTTCAGTAGTAGTTACTTATTCTGAAGGTCTTACTAATTCAGCTATTTATGAAGTAAAGGGAAGTTTCTGAAAGTAGCAAACATGCGTTTCTTTATGTTGCGCTAGTCATCTACAAGGTTAATCGTGGCCGAAACATATCTCTCGTATTAATTAACGGATCGTCTCCAAATTCTCCTAGTATTATTAACACTCTTCCAAATCATTCATTTTGTTCAGCTGATTCCCTACGTCTTTTCTTGACTATTCCTGAGTTCGATCCCTTGTAGACTGCCTCCAAGAGCGGTTTGGTTCTACCGAAAGTGGATAGACTTCGGTCTTCTCGAAATGCTTTCATAGCCTCTCCCATGTAAGTCGTATTCACTGGCTTCACGCCTCACGGGTGATTCTCACAAAATTGAAAAGCTGAATAAGAACTTCTGGTGCTTATAGCCGGATATGCTACTCTACCTAGTGGGGGGTGGGTGGGAAATCCTGGTTCCAAGCCTATGATGTACATGGACTCCGGAACTTGCTTTGATTACTGGCAACACTGGGGACGCAGCTCTACTCCCTTGTGGATCAGCCTTCAAGTTAAACAATCGGCGGATAGCCACTCAAGACAACCAACTATTTCAGTCTGGGCAGTATCCTGGCTCCTACACAAACTACGAGGCAACAGTCCATGGAAAATTATAAATGCGCAATCACTTTTACAAGCTACAACCATATTCTCAGCATCGTGATGTTTTTTTACTTTATTTTTATATATAGACCCTTGCATTTTATTTTTAACGGCTTTACTATTTTTAAAACACTTGGTCCCCTCTGTGAATTTAGACAAAGCAATAAAAATACGTTTGTTGCATTTCGGAAGCCCGCGTTCAAGATCTCAGTGAAAAGCTTCAGATACCTTACCCATCTGGAAGTTCAAGTTGCGTACCACTTGTCCTTTTCTACGGACCCTGTGGTGTCGGAATCTGGCATAGCTGATGTACCAAACAATAGAGCCGAAGCAGCATTATTAGACTGGATCCCTATTAATAACAGTCGTTTATGTGCTGTGAGGTTGTATGAGAGTAAGAAGTGGTAGGTCAGATAGGTGGTGTCTATTTGTTGTCTCTACCTACGCACCGACGGACTGTAGCCCGGATGCAATTAAGGATGGGTTTTACTGTCAACTGGGCAATCTCTTGAAACAGGTGCATCAGAGGGATATCGTGGTGATGGCTGAGGACTTGAATGCACAAGTCGGGTGTTTAGGCTCAGAGGAGTCGTTTAGGTGGTCAGTGGGGATTACATAGTCGTAAGTCAGATAGTGGGGACCGTCCTCTGCAGCTTTGTGCAAATCACAATCTATTTCTAGCCAGCACTAACTTCCGGCACAGCAGCCATCGTCATAGCGCTACCTGACGTCCTCCCTCTGAATCCAGGCATGTGCTCCACAAGGAGCCTCTGAGAAGTACCAGACTGAGTTAAACACTATGCTGTCTAGCAGCCCTTCACATAGTACAGATGAACCTGCAAGACGTTATGAATATAATGAATAAAGCCGCTTGGCGCTTAAAAGAATGATCAGCTATTGAATATCTGCGAGTTCTTTGCAACTCTTAGATGAACGCCGGGAGACAGACGAGTACAATATGCGGAAAACCAAACTGTGTTTACGTAAGGACAGCAAAGCCTGGTCAGAACGTGTGTACGATGGAATCAGCAGGTGCATCTGGCAATGGTCGGGAACTGTTCCAGCTCACCCTAGCCACTGGCAAAAAGGGATCAGCGAGACGGAACGTTGGATAGAGCACTTCAAAAGACCGTCTAACCAGCCAATAGTGACGCCGTCCACCATCAACTACAGTGCTCCATGGTCAATCAATACTGACCCACAACTAAAGTGGAGATCTGAAAGCTAGTGAAAAGCTTCAAGATACCCGCCCCAGACAACCTACTCCAGGCTTTTTTTAAAGATTCTCATCAGAGTTGACTGAACTTTTTAGGAAAGTTCAAGAGAGCGAAAATGCCTGATCAGTATGGAGTGAAATCATCACTGCGCCCATCTTTAGAGAGGGGTTACGTAATGCGTGTAACAATCCTTAGCATATTAGTGTGTTAGCAGTCGCGTCTAAAATTATATTGGCTGCAGTTCCGCAAAACACATAGGGAACTGATTCGTTAGGAGTAGGCATGATTTCGTCCAGACGTTGGATGCATTTACCCTTCATCAGCTGCCAAAACCCCATCTTAGGCCAATAGTCGTTGTTGTTTGATACCAACACTGCTTTAAATTCACTGAACACAATTGATTGTCAGAACTGTCTGTTACAGAGAGGTGTCCTTGAGGACTTCGTCAGTATCTGGTAGGTTGTATACAGAAACACCTTGGGTAAAATTAAGGCATACACCCAGCTTTCACCACTCCTGGATCTCTCGATTTCCACTTAACTTGGCCATCGATGACGTTTTGGAGTCAACGCTGAACGATATGCAAGGTGGTGGTGTAAATCTGTTTCCTGGATGAAGATTTTTCGACCTCGACAATATCATCTCATTATGCGATAACATGCAAGTTATCGAAATTACATTTGATCCCCTGGCAATTAGTGTCTATAAGTATGGTACACACTTTGTACGATCTAAGTGCAAAGTATTGAGGTATGATTAGCAGGAGCCTGTACTTGCACTCACCTTCACAGGTGAAGCACTTCAATTTGTTGACAAGTTCGTGTACCTACGTAGTTTTCTGAATGCTGGCGACGAACGAAATCTCCAATCGCAAAGGCGAAAGTGGGCCACCTCCAGGTCAGTCTGGCTCCGAAAAGTTGGATTTTTAATGCTTCGGTTGCGCTGTCTTGCTCTTCTCTGGAGACTTTGCCTTTCCGAGCTGGAAAGGTGAGGTAAATTTGCGTATTCATTCATCCCTGCCCCCGTAGAATTAGTTACGTCATCGTAGTGTAGAAGCGTGTGTGGACACAGTGGAGACCGACATTCATTCAGCGTCACCATATGGAAATACCAGCTTTGGCGGCTTTGATATGTCCCACGGATGTCATCCCAGATATAACCATATCACTTCATTTGCTTAAAACTCAGGACGCCGGTTGTGTAAATTCTACCATGTTTTCGATACACAAAATAAAGGATTTTAAAGAGAAAAAGATACAAGCAAATATATCTACTTCCTAGAGCCGAAAACATATTTTTACCTTACAATCGTACGGAGAAGGATATCGCAGTAAAAAGCCTGTTATTCACTGGGATTATAAATTTGTGCACATCTATGGATGTCACCCCTTACATTTCCGAACACAAACTTAACAGGACTGCTTACTCATCAGCTAGAATGTGAAATTTTAGACGCTTTAGCTTCTCAGAACGGAAAAATAACATGAAATACCATTTCTTCTTTGTCGTGGAAATTTGCATTAACTCCCGTATAGTGAGAATACTTTCAAAAAGTTGCCTGAGACATGACTGAACGATCTATTACGATGAATTTCTTCGCAACAGTAACTTTCGATTTCAAATCACTTCTATTAGGAGAAACGTTAGACTGAGCAACTCGTTTCCAGTGATATACAATATTTATCTACACTTGAAGCAAACTAAAGTACTACCGGTAAACCTTAATAAAACCGGTATTAGAAAATATACCCAGTTTAAAATATTTGCAGGTATTGTATAGGAGTATAATACGTATTTTCGGTAGAATGAACATTGACTTAAAAGCTATGGAGCTATCTTTCATGGAAACTACCCACCAGTAGTAAGATACAACTAAAAATTATACTAAGCGATTTTGTTTTGAATTGGCTTTAATCAAATTTGAAAAGAACTCCGGAACTCTAAAATAAACAACGATAAATATGATTGGTTTGAAATCTGTTACTTATACCCATCATTATATTGACTCAATAAATCCTAAAAGTATAAAACGAACGAGATAAAGATACTTTAAGAGCATAGTGATGGAAAGGGAATCCAGAAAAACAGTACATCGGATTCATGAAAATTGCTTGTCAAATAATTGAAACTTTGAGAAAACAAGATATTTTAGATACAGATGAGGATACATGTCAAAAAAAATATTCCCAAGGGCGTTTTAGGTCTGTCACATTTACACAGAGTTATCACAACAGAGACGAGATTAGGCGTAAATATACATATGGTGAAATCAGACCAACTTCTTAGCCTGGAAGAAAGCTCGCAGGTGACGCATTTGCCAACAGCCAATGAAGATCAGCAATATCAACTGTCCTACGCTCCACCAAGTTACACGTGAATTTGTGCTTTCGCTCAATCTGCGGAAGCGTTCTTCTCTAACCTGCAAGAGATGTCAGAATTTACATTTTTAGATGCCGTAAAAATATACAAGCGTAGTTATTTCTAAAATAGCATCACGTACTTTTTATTCTCAGCAATTTTTCGCACATGCGATTTAGCTTACAGTACCATTACATTATACAGTGGATTATATTTGAATGGTTTATAATGCCGCCTGCTGCTCACATCCTTAAATATAAGTCACAACTGCACTGCTTTCAAGCGGAACGTTCGAGCAAGCGACTGCACCAAACTCCCTGATTTTATGACGAAAATGTACAAAGTGAAGCCTTAAATGTATAACTACACTCCTACTACTATAACAATACAGAGGTATCATATAGAAAATAAAATGAAGATGAGGTTTCAGGATACCACTTATACAAATAATCCACAACGGACTGATAAGGATTTGTCCACCAATTCAAGTTTTATGTTACTAGCATTTGCTTAAACTAGCAAGGAGGGTAGAATTTCGGTGCACTAGTTTATTTTTAATAGGTAACTTTCAACCGGTTTATCATAAGCCTGAAACTCACTTCACGGATATGAAACAGGTAATATGAATAATCCTTCCATGTAGTAGGTTGATTGTCTGGTCTCTAAATGTGTATATGGTTGCACAATTTCTTTTCAAGCGAAATACCAGAAATGGTACATATATTTTCAAAAGTCGTATTTAATATATTCGAAATTTATATACATATCGTCAGGCAACTTGGTGATTAAATATAGAACTTCACAATGGTTACGTAAATAAGAGGCAGTGATGATAACTTACGCGCTGATAGTTTTGGTCTTTAGCTATGGATTGAACCTGGTCCAATAACTGACGAACTCGAAGCTGCAGATCATTTAATCTATCTTTAGAAGCTATTTCTTGATAATTCAAAGCATGGTCACCCACTGCAATATCTAGATGTACTCTCTAAAACATTAGAAATTTGACAGGCAATCTACCAGTTGTGATCCTCCAAACCATGCATTTGAGTCGGATGATATGCACATTTTATATTCACCAGGTCTATGGGCAGTAAATACAAATCGACCTTCAGAAGAGTACACCTAAGGACAAAATAAGAAGTAAATACAGTCGTTTACTTAAGAAAATGGTGCAAATCAGGAAACTATGGTGATGAATTAAATCTAAAAGGTTAATTTAATAGTGTGCTAAATGATCTTCTGTACAATTCTTAGGAAAGAACTCTTTCACAAAGGATTGCATGCACGACTAATTCTTTGAAATTTGTACGACTTTACGAAAAGCGAACGATCACTCAGAGGTATCTACCATCTTTCACGCTACTCTCTTTGGGAAGTATAACTTGGCTGTACTTACTCGTACTGCAAAAACCAAAAGAAGCTACTTAGCATGGTTTGCATTTTCTGATTTGTTTGTGCACGCTAATTCTTTTCAATGATGTTACAATTTGCAAACCCCAATATGGAAAACTTTGTGGTCTTCAAAGTCAACTAAACGATAGGTTAATGGGTACGTCCAGAACTTTTATTCACTTCGTTCATCACAGGCACAACGTAAGCCTAAAATCAATTAGATAACCAGATATGAATCAATACAAGCGTTCACCAAAAAAGTTGTTCCACACAACCAGAAATGAAAAACAAATAGATGTTGTGCCGACTTAAATGTTCAAACCAAGCTTGACTGTTTCAGGCGATTAGGCGGGACCATTAGGTTTCATGAAATGCAGGTGGAATATGGTGAAAACAAACGTGCGTGAACGTAAATATCATACGGGGACCAAGGCTCCCTATATCTCAACCACGCTGTCTGTTTCACTGTAATTCTGAAACAGTTACATAGAGGTACCACTCAATTAATAAACTATCAATTTAATCAGATATTTACCACAGAAACACAAAACATGCCTTACGCGGTCAAGGAGAACTTCGTCATTTGGATCCGTAACCCTCACTTTTACCCCTAAGTCTTTTGACCTTTCAAAATGCTTCCCTTTTGCAGCCAACAACTTATAATTTCCTGTGGAATTAGATTTAGTCTTTTATTCTCATACCAGCTACAAGTGTATCTTCTGGAACATCTTCTAGAAAGCACCGTTCTTCGGTTTCCTTCATATGGAAATATAGACTTTCTGAGGACGCCACACATAGGAATAACACGGCGAAGACCCAACGACCCATAGCTGACGTGTAAAACTAATAGTCCGCTTAGTCAACAAGATATTAAAACAAACTTATTTCAACCCTCAATGTTATATTATTTTTCACGGTACATTGACATGAAGCTCATGTTAACTGTTTAGGTAGACAACCCCACAATTTACAAATATGTTCGAGGAAAACAACATTTCATGCCCCAGCTCCTGATTAACTCTGCCCTCTCAGTCCATAATTACATAAGCTTGATATTATAAGGCAGCTGGAATGCATTAATAACATTAGGATTCAGACTAATTGTTGACCATAAAAAGCTTTCTTTTGCGGCCTGTTTAATTTCTCAGGGACGTTTATGTAGCACATGTTGAATGTGTTTAGGGAAAATCGCTAATCACATCTGAGGATTATCGCAGTATTCAAACTGCTGAAAGCCAAACATCATTTTCAGTATTCATATGGAATTAGCTGCGAAGACCAATGAACTTCCCGCTCTCACATATGGATAGGGGATAAAATTGCTCGAAAGTAAGCTGACCAAAAGTCTGCAGTGCGCCTTCCGTGACACCGAAATAAAAGTAAGGCTACAATTGATAGATGGAACTAAATCATCTTAACTTTAACTAGTTAAAATTCTAGCCATCCTATGGATATTTAAGGCGTGTAAAAATTTCTTTTAACGTGTACTTATTCAGTCAGTTGTGTGATAAGCATTATGACAACTCATAACTAGTGAAAGTGAATTCGCTGAAAAAGAGCTTCACTTAACTAAATAGCTTGTCTTGTATATCCCTCTAGTCAATGATTAATGTCCTCCAATGAGTTCGATTTGTTTTCCCTGCTTCATTTTCCCACCAAAAAGCTTACATAATATAAGCCTAATATCAACTTTTGTCTCCTACTTGAAAAAGTGCAATCTGTAGGCAGTTTTCGTAACTGCTTTCATAGAATAGTAGGTTACTTAAATGACAAGCTCGATTCATTCGAAATACACCATTGATTTCACCAGTAGCTTTATGACAAACGCCCTCTTATTACAGCGTCTTATTTTGTTGTTAAGCTAGCTTGATGACAGTTGTATTCTCTATGTAAGATTATTTCCATTATTCCCCTGAACCCCACGTTTAACATAGGGGTTCAAACGAACATCTCCACGGTGGCACATAATGTCACCCTTGCACGATTTCCTACATTTCACCCAGAGACCAGAGCCAAATTCGTCTTCCAATATTTGGTTTTTATTCGAGAGTCTGGCGTCGGATGCCACCAAACATTCGCCAGCGTGTTCGACCATTTTACCTCTTTTTTGAGGCATATTTGTTGAGCGATCGGTTCTTGGTTCGTTCGTTCCCGCAGTTTCTTGTTTCTAATTCTTTCCAGCCAGCCATTCGATCTTCAATATGGAAACAGCGAAGGTGACAGCTGTTGATAAACGACTGTAGTGGCTTGCTGGAAATGCTTTTCGTGACAGGCAGTGCAAGTTTCTGACCCATTAGGAAGGACCAACTTTACACTTGTGCTGAAAATCCGAGTCTTTTTTATGCCGGTTGAGTGCAGATTTCCAAACCGGTTTCAGGTTGATGAAGGCGTGTCTTACCTTTCCGATTGTGGCAGGTTTTGACATTTCCATCCGTTCTGTCTGTGATTGAAACTATGCTTCCTAGATAAGTGAAGGAGGTAACCTGTGACAAATCTATCTCGTTGGTGGTGATTGGTGCTGGTTGTTGTTGCTGTTATTTCGTTGTCTTCATCACATCCGTCTTCCCTATGTTCACTTGTAATCCTGTCTTCGATGCCTGCTTCTTCAGTCAGTTTATTGCTTGCTCCAATCAGGCCAACGTAATTTTGTCTTCTAGCTCCCTACGGTTTGATGCACAGTCCAGCCTGCCACAGTCAAGAATGTCACCACTGATAACAACCAGTATTGTCCTACTCATGTCTTCACTTCAAAGGCTTCTCTGAGTTTTTCGTTAGTGATCTTTTCACGTTTGGCATTGTCACATAGCTGTTGAATGAGACTGATAAAGGTTACGAACACCCGCTGGGGTTGAAGCGATTCCCAAAACACTTCGCGAAACCTTTCAAAGTCGATAAGGTTGGGGTAGAGATTTGATTTTCACTTAATGTTTTTTTCGATGATGATGCGTAGACTTGCAATTCTATGAGTACATTATCTGCTGTCAATGTAGTTGAAGATTGAACGATCAATTCGTAGTTGTTTGATCAAAACCAACTTCCCCAATTTTCGCGGAGGCATCAATACACCAGCCATCGTCTAATCGGTCGCTGTTCAGAAAGAAGTCAGGAGAAAACCGTCATAAGTAATATTGTGATTTATTATTCTAATATATGTTCTTAGAACTTAGTCTCTAATGCTGGTTATATGTTGGTGTTAAAATAAAGAATTCCCGAGTCACAAAAATGGGTTCTGGTTTTCGCGTCCGTTCGTACTAAGCATTTGTGAGAAGCTTCGAGGAACAGCGTGAGTACCAGCGTAGCAAGAGCTGAGAATTGACGGTTTACGAGACGTGACTGACAGTTTCTGACGGTACAGTGTCAGTTTCTGACGGAATGGAGTCAGTTGTCTACGGATTCGGACAGTTGGTGGCAGTTTGGATAGTCAGCGTTCATCTTTCCTGGTGCCGGCCAAGTCTTCTTTGAACAAGCAATATCTGGAACATTTTTCGAATTGGGTCAAGTTCAACAATGCTTGGGTCAAAAAACGGACAGAGCGTCTTAGAAGCAAACGGGATAGTAAGTCATGGTGACTGGCATGTTGCTCGCAACGATGTGTCTGATGTTCAACATGACATGGTTGATGTTACTGTTTCAACGTCTAGGGACAATAGGAACATCAAACTCGTTAAATTTGAACCACGGTGTTTCGATGGAAACTCGGCCGATTATTTACAATTTGTAAAGGAGTTTGAGATCATGTTGAGTAGTTTTTTGTTAAGTGATGAATTGAAATTGATGTATTTGATGAGGTATTGCACTGGAGATGCTTCAAGAGCTATGAAGTGCTCTATGCTCAGGCCCCCTAATGAGGGATACGCTGAGGCTATGAGCATATTACGTCAAAGGTTTGGAAGACCTTCGATGATTGTAAGGAACGTATACGAAGCTGTCAAAGGTAACGGCAGTCAACTTCAAGATAACGCCAAGGCACTTACTGGGATTTTAGATAATCTTATGACTTATAAGAATAACTTGATTTCGAAGAATTGTACTAGTGACCTCAACTCGACTTTTATACTGGAAGTAATAGCAAGACGCCTACCTACTCAACTGCAAAGGAAGTGAGTGAAGATAATCTCCCGTATGGAGGATGAGGGTATCGAGCCAAAGTTCGATGATATTCTGAAACTGGTAAACAATAGTGTCAATCAAGCTATGAGAAAATTTGCCAGTATATTAGATCTAATTCATAGAATAGAGCAGTCTGAGGGAAAAACGCAATCATTGATGACGAGTAGGCCTCAGAGATGTGGATATCGAGAAGGCTCCATGAAGTCTAGCAATGCATATAGACCAAGTGAGTGTAACAGCTGTCAATCACGTCTCATAAACCGTTAATGCCCAGCTCTCGCTACGCTCGGGCCCACGCTGTCGCTTGAACATTTCTGAAACGCTTAGATATAACGGACGAAAAAACCAAAACACCGATCTGCCGCTTGAGATATCTTTATCGTGACACCAACATAATAAAAGAATAACTGAACTAAGGTCTGTGAAAAAATATTACAATAATAAATCACAATATTACTTCTGACGGTTTACTGTTCTTTCTGAACAGCGACCAATGAGACGATGACTGTCGTATTGATGCCTCCGCGAAAATTGGGGAAGTTGATTTTGAGCAAACAACCAGGAATTGATCGTTCAATCTTCAACTCCATTGACACTCCCCGGCAAAAATGGATCCAACCATTTTTTCCTTCACGACCAATACACGTTGACTTGGATGCCATTGCGAGAACCTGGGTCACACGGACAGAGCTGAAATGGAAAACAAACAGAAAAGCCAACACACCACAAGCATACTCACAGCACAATCTCACACATCAATGACGACCTGCGCCTCCAGACAGAGACCTCCTCTTGACATCTTGCAACACAATCGCCACTTGCTAGAATGACTCTTGCAGAATGCAACGTGACCATAGCACCACCTCACGATACTCTACGCACATCCTCTTATCTACTCACTACCAATTACCACTGAAATCGCTTGTCACTCATTCTGCCTCAGTTCTAGTAACGGTGACGCATGCGAGCCTCAGTCGTTTACACTCTTTCTCTCCGGCGTGTCGGACCACAGCTAACAATTATCTCCGTGTGCATTTCATTCTCAGCAATAGCCTAGCCTCCCCGGCGTATACGACCCATCTGCTGTATCTAACATCAATCAATTCATTCATGGATGTAGAAGACTCGAAACAACTTCAGAAATAATCACGACGAAAATTTTAACAAAATTATGCAATAAAAACAAGGTACGAAAACAACGAGTAAACACAATGAATCCAAAACACCACCAATTGATATGACACACCACACGTATATACAAAGCGTACACACAAACCCGCAGTTCATGTCTTGATGGAATTCCTTTGAAGAATTGCAGGACTTACACCAGTACGCCTACAACCCTTCACAGGTTGACGATTGTAATTTGTGGAATGTCCGGACACAAACAAGATTAACCAACAATTACAATAATTGGAACTCACACAATTATTTAACACAAACATATGTACAATCAACACATCAAATGTTGTGGATTCTGGCACGACAAACTACCCTTGAAGAACTGTAGGACTTACAGCAGTACGCCTACATTCCTTCTCAGGTTGATGATCCAAGTGGAAGTCGTCCGGACACAAACAGAATTACCAACAGCTAGATGACAGATGATATCAATTCAGTATATACAATATGAACATATGTACCAAATCACACACCAAGCACATTGGACTGCTCATTGATGCGCTACCCTTTGAAGAATTGTAGGACTTACAGCAGTA